TTTCATCCAATTCGCTTTAGGCAAATGTGTCAGCAACGTCTTTTCGTTCATGATATAGATACATACAATGTATGTTGAACTAAACCAGAAAGAAATGCGTCACATATGACAATGATGTAATAGAACACATGGTGACCAATACATGCATTATGCATGGAACACCGCTTATTTCGAAATCGGTTGTAATGAAATTAATACATATTTGAAAAAAGACTTACTGTGAGTCATTCCCGAACTTTGGATCTGACGAATTAAGTTTTGTCCGTTCGAGTTCGTTATGTCCAAAGTCAGATCAGGGATTGACATACGAGGACGTACTGTTTCTTACGGATCCCCTTTCAAAAGCATATTATATGTCATGTCCAGTTATGGGATAAAATGCCAAAAAATAATAAACTTTAATGTTATTTTATGTTTTTGTCTGCCCATAAGTACGGTTTGGTAGTGCAGTCGTTGGGTACGTTTACTATCCACAGAGCGGTATATTCGTGAAGAACCAGTGAAGATTTATAACACAATACTCGTGGCTCGACACAACATGCATATTTTATGCTTCTTAGCAAAACACCCATTTCTGCTATACAAACAATGCATATGTTTTAGTAAACCTGCAACATGCATCCGTACTATTACACACGGTGTTGCTCCATAATGGAAAACACGAGTCCATAAGTTCAATACTCGAGTGTATGTCTGCAAACACGGTCTTGAGGTATCACTTACAGCCAGGGCAACCCGACTGCCATTTGGAGAACACCGAAACGCGATGTCACGGTCGAGTGGGCTTTACGTGGAGATGTCGGGGACGCCGGCGTGAACTTTCCTCGTGTATATATGTGCTCCGATGTCTGCCATGTGTGGGGCAGGAGGCATCAGTAGGCCGGGGGACCTTGATTCGCCAGGGTGAGGGGATCTGCTTGAGCGTTGCCGAGGAAGTGGTGAACTTCCTCATCATCGGCCACGGGACTTGTTCCTCGGCATCAGCCACTCGAGGGAGGGAGATGGAATGCTTGTCGATATTTTTAAGTGAAAATACAGTAAAGCATCGTTGTCTCGAACTCCAGTTACTCGATATTTAGTTTAAGACGATTGTATTTCGAACTATGAAGGTCCAATCGGACAATATAAAATAATATATTTTAAGTTTACTATTTTATTGTGTCTTGCTCGATTTAGACGCTACGCTTTACTCAAATTACGGATATCTCGATATATCCCTTGCACTACCATTTGGCGAGAGTTTATTGTATTCTGAAAGAAATCTGATGGTTATAAAGAAGGTGTGTGTGTGTGTGTGTGTGTGTGTGTGTGTGTGTGTGTGTGTGTGTGTGTGTGTGTGTGTGTGTGTGTGTGTGTGTGTGTGTGTGTGTGTGTGTACTTGAAAGACTAATTTAAACCAAATATTTTAGTTACCGTTTACCGTTGTCAGTGGCAAACATGTTTGATGTAGGATAGGTGGGTGCAGCTTACACTGTTCTCGAACACCTGTTGTCATTACTTTTATCAGTGATTCATTAACATAGGGTTTCACCACTATTTTGTTTTTTAAATCAAATCTGATTCAGTCAACTATCGAGACTGCTCACTTGTATTCTCTAACGTTTTATAGATGATATATCATGGTACAATATATTTCCTTCTGGTTTACAGACCAAAACTAAACTGTGATACAACAACCTATCAATAAACATGGTCAGTTAGATTTTGCATGATAAAAGGTACTTTTACTTTAATACGGTCTCCAGACGCGCATAGAATACAAAGCAATAAACAACGCATTTCCTTCTGGTTCACAGACCAAAACTAAACAGATAAAATATAATCCCTGGACCTATCAATGAACATGGTTAGTTAGACGTTGCATGATAAAGTCTACTTTCACTTTAATACGGCCTCTTGAGGCGCATTAGCTTACAATGCATGTCAATGCATTAATGATAATGCCTATTGTTTGATCATTGAAATCTGATGGATAGAGTAGCTTTAATATAGACACAAAGTGCCACAGACGAAGGAAACTCAAAATATCCGCTACGACCAATCATATTTTCCCTGTTCATGTAATATTACATTATGTGCTAATATTACCTCACCAGCTACTCAGATCAGCACCCATGTCGCTCACCATGTGGTGTGTCGATCACGTGTGAACAAAAGCCCCGCTGCTTCCTATTGCTCATCTGACGTGGTGCAATAACCCGCCTAATTTTAGCCTATGGGCAATACGGAATTGTAATCGGATAGAACACTGGAAGCGGTGAATTACTTATTTAGATGCGCGTTTTGTTTCTCAATTCCCAGCGTGCGACCCATTTGATGGACACGCCCATATTACATTATTAGCTTCTGTTCTGCTGGTTCCAATCAAACGCTTCGTTTAATATTACCGTATAGCATTTTTAAAGTTTCTTGCCATATGTTCATTAGATTGGACAAAAAATCGGAATATTTTACAAGGGACGTGTTCAAACAAATATGCACTGTTAAATTCGCGTTTACGAACTTGATACCAGGTCTGTAATTTAATCTCAGTCATGATGTCATCCAATTATATATAATATAGCCGTTTATGTTCAGCATTGCTACATAGCTTAAAAGAACCGTTCAATTTATCACAATGTGCATTGTAGTAATATTTTTAACACAGATATTAAAGGTTTGTATACTTACTGTTGAATTTGCAATGAAATAATACGATGATGTTGACAAGGAATGGTAGTCTAAATACTGCATAAATAATTATAGCCTACTTCATATTGATGTAACACTACATTACACTACACTACACTACACTACACTACAGGACACGCCACGCCACACTACACTTCACGCCACGCCACGCCACGCCACGCCACGCCACACCACGCCACGCCACGCAACGCCAGTCCACGCCGAGAAACGCCAGTCCACGCCAGGCCACGCCACGCCAAGCTACACTACATGTACACTGCACTACACTAAATGTACACTAAGCTTGCACCACACCATACTACACTAAAGCTTAACTACACTACACTAAAGCTTAACTACACTACACTAAAGCTTAACTACACTACACTAAAGCTTAACTAGACTACACTACACTAAATATACACTAAACTAAACTGAACTAAACTAAGCTTACACTACACCACACTATACTAAAGCTACACTACACTACACTACACTACACTACACTACACTACACTACACTACACTACACTACGCTACACTACACTACACTCCACTCGTCTCCGCTCCACCACAGAACACTACAATACATTACAATATAGGAACGTTCTAACAACACAGATCGTCACCGCAAATACATATTCAGTCTCAAATAAATACTGGAAGAGATTCCATGGGACATAATAAATAAAATAACGGTGAATAATATATGAATGGTTGTATAAAAATCAATTATGAGACCAGGTATTCGCGAAAATTAAAAACAGGCCCTGCCCTGCCTTTCCTCAAATGCTTTCAAGAGTATCCCAAGTTGAATCATCGGCAAATCGTGACTATTGATAATCCCAATAATTCACTACTTCTATTAGAATCTTCATCACAAAATAACAACCCACTGATGATATAACAACATTATAACAACGTTATGAAAGCTATGATATTATTATTCATATGCGGCTGCCTGAAGCATTAGGCAAAGTAGATATACAGGTGTGGCCTATTTCTACCCATCACCAGCATTAGGCCAAAGCCGTGATACATCAAGAGGATGCCTCCCAGACCTGTCGTCAGATGCTGAAGATCGCAGAACTCTGTAAAACGATACTGTCTTGAAAACCGATACGGGCGCCTCGGAAGACACAGCCTCATGCGATGCACACAACTGTGCAGATTTCCTTGGTTTAGAAACGGTAACAGATGCGCGTCTGAGCTCCGTCTGGAGACGCTTGGCTTCCTGGACTGGATTAATTGGACGATACGACCAAGAGCAGCTATAACGGTCTTCTTCTCAGGGGGGACAGTTACTCAGTGCAAACAGTGGGATGTTCACTCTGGATAACATAATCAGTGATACCGAGGATTGGACATCTTAACTAACGCCGTCTAGAATCTGGTTCAGTGATAGCAGCTGTGAATTGCTCCTGTGTTTGTGTGTGTGTTGTTACTATCGACAAGTCCTCCTAAGGCCTCCGTTGTGAGGTATATATTGACGTGTTAATTCTTTGACCGGTCAGCTGTGTTGATGTTTGTTCAGCTATCGAGAGGCTACAATACAAGCAATATCAGTATTGACGGAGTTATTTGTGCTGTCGGAAGTCCAAGCAAGGAAGCTTAATGCCTCTATGACGTAAATGAAGATTAGGAGATGATACCAGAACCTCCAGAAACGTTGTAATTTGTTCCACTATGATAGCCTCTTGTGTACATACATGAAGTGGAAATGCAGTGTGATATTATTGATTTCCTTAAGCTCGGGAACCATATGCATGCGTTTGTCGTCTTGTTCAGTATTATTGCGAATGTGTGATCTCATACCAATGGTGCTGAAGGTGCCATTTCAGTTTAATTCACTTCATCTCAAAGCATCATCTATTATTAAGTTAAACACCGATGTCGTATTCCAAAACCTTTGTCAATAAGCGTTTCCAGCACGTCATCAAATGGATGAAAGTCAACGACGTGGAGTATTCTATAACATTGCAAAAACTGACATAATTATTAAGTCTCAAAGGATCGTTGCATACCACCACGTGATAAGATAGGCCGCGCATCACCTGTACACTGATTTAATAATGTATGCCGTAAGCATGGATCTTGTATAAATAACGATAACCCATGACGAGTATTTTGGCCTGTGCAGTGTTCTATTAATGAGAGCAGAGGCCTTGAGCAGTCAAGTAAAACTGATGCATCGGCCTTTCAAAACGTGATACCTTCCCATCTGCTGCAAAGATCCTGTAGGATTTGGACTCTATTTGCATTGACTTTAACACTTGTCAACACAATCACCTGCACTTTGAACACGTGAATACGGGTCTCGCCTCTGTGTTCTGTAGCTGGTCCAAACTGTGAATATGTGACTCGGTGGAAGAAACCGTTACGTAAAATGGTTCTCATCTCTGAGAGAACAATTTACGAGAATAGTGTATCGAGCTACTGTTTTGTGCACCATTAACAATATCGCTTTCTGTGACCGCGGACTATTTTGAATGGATCGATTATTTTTCGGTGGCTTTTATGAGACCAGTGGCTAAACGGCTGTCGCGGGCTTAATTGAAAGTACGGACTTAAAGGGAGTGACATTTCTGACAACTGTTCTCGTTCCAGCAACCAGTAGGAGCTTGCTATGTCATTTATCTTCGCCGATGTCGGGATGTAATTTACAATCAGGTGTATTGGACATCGATACGTGGAGGTCATCATGTTGAAATGTGTAACAAGTGGACAAGCATGACTCTCTTCTCTTGGAAAGACAACGTACTGTGTTTTGAAGAGAATGTGCTTCTGAATGGATACTCTAAACATTTGTCTTCCAAATGATTCTCGGTTTTGTAGATGAATCAAACTCTGTCAAATCAAGGTGACCAAACGGAGTAACGTATGTCACGCAGATACAGATCTGAACGAAAAGGAACCTTAATGAATTAGGGATATCGTCATCTGTAGTTGATACAAAGTCCTACAGATCACAAAGATCACACAGAAAATAGGTACACCGCCTGTTAAGCTGTCTGGAGTGTTGGGGTACAACACGTGGAACCGACTTCACGACATCTCAGGGATTACTGAATGGGAAAACACTTGGATTTACCGTTAGACCAGCAGGATGGTGTTTATGTAAGTACTTACCTTACTACTCTGGAGTTGTACAAATTACATACACATACTTTCAGACTTGATGACCTCAAGTTCACTCTAACCATTTCCAAACATGCAGTGGTACATTGTTCGAAGATTTGGCATTTCAAGAGGTAATACTATTTAAGGAAAGTATCGGAAATAGTCCGTGTTGTGTTTCCAATGCATGAGTAACGCAGGTCGAGAATGTATAGGTTGCGGAAGTTAGGAATAAGCTTAGGTTGCCGCCGATAATATCTTCTAAGCGATGTTTATTTACAAAACAGAATCCTCTCTTGCACCGTTTAAGTGGATGGCTCTCTATCGTGTTTTCACTCATATGTAACGACAACGTTTGTGTGCCCATATGCATCAGAGAAAAACACTTGTACATGTGCATACATAATTAATAATTGTATTGAACACATTGGACACAGATCATAGTAATGTCAAGCTCATTGTTGTGTACACTGATATTCAATCTGGTTCGTTTCAAGTGTAGCCATGCATACATTTTAATGTGAAACATACCACCACATGGCCCGCGATGAACACAGCTAGTATTTTCTGACTTGAATAATAATGTATCTGTACTAATGCCTTAAAGAACCCTCAAGGTTGATAGGTGTTTATGAGGCCAAGGCCAAAACGTGGTTTGGGATTAACATGGGTTGACAGAGGAAAGGTTTTTGTAGACATGAGGTGTTTTATTCGTGACTGAACTCGTGTTACTTCCGTGAAGACATCTCTATGGAAATGCACTACTTAGCGTTGTCTCTCAGAATAGAATACGACTGTCTATATCCAATTATTGAAGAATTGATCAAATTGGTGTCTTTGTGTTATTTTATGGTCGGGTTTACAAAGGTTGTATCAGATATTGTGGGCAGGTGTTTATGTAAACGTTTGTCTCTCAGTACGAAGAGGTAGGGTAGCCTAGTGGTTAAAGCTTTCGCTCGTCAAGTCGAAGACCCAGGTTCAATTCCCAACATGGGTAGTATGTGCGAAGTCCATTTCTGGTTTCCCCCGCCGTGATATTGCTGGAATATTGCTAAAATCCGTAAGACCATTCTCACTCACTCTCTCACTCAGTACGATGTGTGTTTTAGCCTAAGCGTTTGCATGACAGTATGTGTATGAGCTAAACGGTTGTCTCTCATAATCAGTTAAATGCTTCATGGCCTATATTAAGCGATTGTACAGTTTGTAACGTATGGATGGGATGGGTGTAAACATGTTCTTGTTTATCTATTGGGTATACAGATGTTCACTGACCAGTCTGATTAGTAATGCCATACCGTTGTATTTGCCTCAGTGTAAACTAATGAATGTTGACGTTTTGACTCTCCGTATAGTGTCGGGGCATGCATGTAGTACATTTTTGTCTCCCTGTTCAAAGAAAAGAATGTTTGTGTAATATCGTTTGTTCGAAGTGTGGAATTGGGGTTTGTATTTCGTTATCATTTGTCATTCAGTATTAGTTCTAATGTGTATTCAGAGCACGTAGTTGTCATCCGTCTCTTAGTATTAGTTATAATGTGCATTCAGTACACATTTTTACCGTTTCTCTCTTAGTATGGGTTATAATCCGTTTGCAGTATATCATATATTTTTCGTTTGTCTCTCAGCACGGGATATAATGTGTATTCAGGGAATTTAGTTGCCATTTGTCTCTCAGTATTAGTTATACTGTGTATTCAGTGCATTTCGTTATCGACTGTCTCTCAGAACGGGTTATAATGTGTATTCAGAACATTTATTTATCGCGCGTCTCTTAGTGTGGGTTATGATGTACATGTCTATTCAGTATATTATATATTTATCGTTTGTCTCTCAGTACGGTACGGGTTACAATGTGTATTCAGAGAATTTAGTTGTCATTTGTCTCTTAGTATGGGTTACACTGTGTATCCAGTATAATGTCTATTCAATATATTATTTATCGTTTGTCTGTCAGTAAGGGTTATAATATGTATAGACCGATCCAGACCCCGCCCACTTCGTTTTTGACGTTAGGGGGGACAACCACTGACAAATCACAATGGCGTCACCGCCGGCGAAACGTACGTGATTGCGAACGTTGTTGATGAATTCTGCTTGTGATACTTTGGTATCCGTCGTTTGTGAATTTTATTTAAAGAGGCAAGTTATACGTATGTGATTTTTAATATATTTTAGCTGGTAGATTGCAAATGGCGAGTGAAAATGAGTTACCTGCCCGATGAAAAATCGTCTCGACCAGCTGCTGAGACTGTAGGAAGCGTAATTTCTTTCGAATCAATTAATCTATCTGGCAATTCACCTCCGTCACAGATATTAGCAGGGGAAGGATAACTGAATTTTGTTGTTTGGGTTTTATAATTTTATAAAAACCGTGAACACAACCACATGTTCATGTTGCAGATCGTTTCGGTATCTATAAATAGATTATCAGCACTGCGCATGGCGCCGTTACTTGTAGTTATCCGTTGGCGTTCAAATTTAGTTCAATAATCTGAAAACATGGGTTTCTATCTTTATGAATTAAGCAGAAAATATTTCCCATCTACTACTTCGTGCACCTTATTTGTCTGTATATAATTAATGTAAACAAATCAATCACAGCATAACACATAATAAGGAAATTGGGCTTGTAAACAGTATGTTTCCATGGTCGTATCTGGACATACCCAGAAGCAAATATTCAACAGCTGATATGCAGCAATTCTCAGTAAAGTTTCCCTCTTCAAAATCTGTACACCATGATAATATGACACTGAATATAAGGAAATCAATGTTTTAATCATCATTTCCATTTTATCTTGCTGTATGTACTTTGTTGTGGAATCCTAATTTACATACAAACTTCCACAATACTGGACTTCATGAACTGCCAGCGTTTATGTACAGGTATGTCACAGCACCTGAAGACAAAGAAGATCCAAGATACAGTTTGCACCTGTACACTGACCCATCTTCCAGAAATAGGAAACATGTGATGCAAAATCTTTGAACAGGGGATCCACAGTTATCCGAACAAGTAACTAGCATTGAAATAGAATGTTACACAAAATACAAATGTATTGTTTTTTTCATCAGAGATGTTTAACTGCTAACTACTAGTGTAAATAAGGTGCAAAGAATATATCCTATGTTCAAAGCTTTTAGTCAATACAATTACATATTGACGACATAACACTGACTTTGATCTATTTCCTTTTCTGAGATACTTACTATTGACATAAAAATTATAGTAAAGTTGATTCAAAATTTGGTAAAAGTCATAACAAAGGTTCAGGAAAACACACATGAAAATGTCCTGAAGCGTTCAACTCCTACAAACCAGTGTGCAATTTAATATGAAACTCATTTTCCAAATAACCATCAACAAACCTTCAACAATTTGTCCAGAACAAACATTTTAATAAACACTAGCTTTGGCTCAGTCTTCAAATACTAGTAACCTCCTAAACAATAGTGATGATTTATCAGAAGAATTACATCAAACATGGGTTAAATATATGTTTCAATATTTATTTCGTTACATGAACCGTTTGAACAGTTATTCTATTCAAGGACTGGATAATGCCTGTCCAGGGTTTGACCAAAACGTAGCCTTTGCTTTTTCAAATTCTCTGGATGTTGATATAACTTTAATGAGTTATGATACTAGCAATCACTTTCAGAATTATCTTATTAGTAAATATAGTATTTAAAAAAAACATCTAAAAGCTTGAGCCAAGAAACTAAGTTAATACCAAGTGATTGAACTGCCATGATATGTATAGTGTTTGTTTGCCTAGTTCTGCCTTAAAATCATACCGTAAGAATCTGATATGTCAACCAATTAAATAATTATTTATTATTGATTAGATTATTATTTATTTTATTACCCTTCCACGTTTACTAAACAATGCAAGTTTCTTAAAACATACCTTGCTATCATTTCCAGTGTATTAATCAAAATGACAGTTGTAATATTACTCCTAAAATGTACCAATATATGTGAATAATTGATGTTGTAACAAAACTTCAAATAATGTTCTCGTAATTAAGATATACACTTTATTTCACTCCGTCCAATACTCCAGAAAGTCACTATTCTTCTCACATAGTTTTCGTATTCGATCAACATGGAGGAAGGTAATTCAGTTCAAAGTCCCATGCATCTCTTTATAAAAATTCTGAAATATTTAAAGCATGGTTTTATAGGCACTCATATGAACTAATTTTGATACTTGGATATTCTATGATAGGCAACTGCTGACACTGACAATATTTCCGTTTGAATAAAAAATATTACTCCTCGATTATTTTGCTCTGTTAACAAGATACTGTAGGCCTTCAGATTGTGCTTATGAAACTTAAAACATCCTAAAATGTGTGACAAATTTAAGAATATCTAAGAGCGAAAGGGGACAATATCCGCCACATTGTTCTTTCATGTAACAAGTTTTGCTATTTCGGGCGACCCTAACCGAAATCAGATCGCCGTCAGATTTGTTTACATTGTGTCACGGCTTTCTCGCCTGTCTCATTTGAGCTTTATGGCGTACCAACTCAATGCCTAGTAGTGACTAAAAACGTTAAGCAAAAGCAATTTTGTAGTTACAAGAATTGTCTGTGTTTATAACACTTGCAAAGTCTTAAACTGCTATTTGTTGTTAACAATTGGTAATGATTTTGCACATGTGCAAAAGTGTGGAAATTCGTGCAAATTCTCATCAGTAGGCAGACGTAGGTTTCGTGAACGATGGTGCAGACATTTAACTGATCGTTAGGCCTATCGCGCTCCTTAATCCGCCTCCATTTTTTTTGTCTTGACCGTAATGATTTTGTTAAAGGTACACATCAAATCGCAGCAATATGTAATAAATATAGCGAGTGTAAATGGCGTAATTCGAAGCACATCGCTTCGGAGGCATCGTTTGACCCCGAAAATAAGTCTGACAAATCCACACAGCGCGCCCGGCCTGCTGATTGGCCACAATTGAGGCATGCGCCAGTTTTGATTGACAGAC